GTAAATACTCATAAGTGTTTACCCAAAAGAAAGAAAAATATATATCAACACAATGAGTTGTATATTGATATTAATATCAGCTTTATTTATAATAACCAAAATGGAAATAACCCAAATATCCATCAACAGTTGAGTAGATAAATAAAATGTGGTATTTCTATCCCATAAAATAAAAACATTCTAAACTACCAATACTCACAATAACATGAAGTAATCTCAAAATTGTTATGCTGAGTAATTTACACAGAAAAGTAAATGCTATATGATTTCATTTATATAAAAGGCGAGTTAATCTATAGAGGCAAAAAGCAGATAAAGTTTCCTGGAGTGGGGGATGAAGGAAGAATGGATGTAAAGGATCACAGGGAATCTTCTTTTAGGAATGATCTTTTCTAAGTGTGGATTGTGCCAATGGTTTCACAGTTTTTACAACTGGTTTTGGGCCAGAGCAACTAGATGGATTGAATTATCATCTACTAAGATGGGAAAGACTAAGAATGGAGCAGCAATTCAGTTTGGACATGTTGCATTTGAAAGGTCTTTTAGACACTGAAGTTGAGGTGTTGAATAGGCATTTGTATATGAGTTCAGAAAAGAGATCTGCTGGGGATATATCTGAGAATTTTCTGCCTATAAATAGTATTTTAAGGCATGAGGTTGGAAGAGATTCATAAGGAAGTGCGAGTAGAGAAGAGGGCTAAGGACCAAGTCCTCTGAAACTCCTACACTGATGGATCAGGAGAAGAGTAGGAGCCAACAGAGAAGACTTTGGGGTAGAAGGTGGGGAGGAAAACCCCATGGGATAGGAGAAAAACCAAGAGAATATGTTGTCCTGTAAACCAAGTGAGACAGTGTGACAATGATTTTTAAAGATCAACCCACAGGAGTTTTCTTTTATCCAATCCATCTGCACTATATTTAACAGACACATCTTCAAGTTTCTGACATATGGAAACCCATAATCCCTACTGTTTTCTCATGGTAGATTATTTCTTCTTTTTGATATTCCATCTCAATGGGAAACAGAGAGAAATAATCAGATACCTGTAGTCACATTACATCTCTCTGGAAGTTGGAGTCTGGACATGTGAAAATAAGCAGAGTCAGGCAGATTGAGAATCTACATTAACCCAATTGCAAATTTAAGGAATATAGTTTACAGTCCAGCTCTTGAAACTTCATTCAAATCTCTGGCGCATTTTCTCCACTCCTGTGGCTTAATTTCCTTTACTCCAACCACTTTCTTATCAATGTCTTTAAAAATCTTTTTGCCTCCCTGTCCTCTCACTAAGCCCACATGGAACAGCTCTAATTCTAGGAGAATCTAACTTTCCTTCTCTGCATTCATCCTAGGTTCAGAGCCCTGCTGCAGAAAATGACATTACCAATCAATGACACACAAATTCCTGTTCTTCAGTACCAACTGCATCTTTGACACTACCTAATATATATACATACTTAAAACATTACATATATTTATTTGTATATATATTATATATATTATATATATATATATATAAAATCTCCAAGACTTATTCATCTTCTACATCTCCGTGATACCCAACAACATGAAGCTCTACCATTCTATATCCATTCTACCCCTAAATATTCTCTTGAATCTGCTCTCTTCATCATAATGCAACTGCTTTAGTCCAGACCCTGTTTTCCTCCCTTGAATTACTGCATTAGCCTCCTAACTTGTTTACCTCCTTCATGTCTCACTTTTCTCCAACTTGTTGTCATCCTGGCCGCTAGTGTGTTCTTTCCAAAATGCAGATCTGATTATATCATTTCCGTGCATAAAATCTTCACTGGCCCCCTAACTGTTCAATTCGAAACACATTAAGCATCTACCAGTCACATATCATTCCCATCTCACAGTGTTATTATTGCAAACAGCCCCTCTACTTTTGAACCACTTCTTCACGCCTACCTGATATTCTAGTCATTCTAAACCATACTTGTGATTTCCTTAATGTGCCATGTTAGTCCCACAACCCAGATCCCTACCCTCCTTTTTACTTGGTTGACTTGTTCTCATTCATCAAGACTCAGCTTAATTATGCAGGACTTAGGAAGCTTTCTTTATCCAGTGCCCTTTGCCTCCATCCGTAAGTGTGTCTAGAAGTTCCTCTTCTATAGTCCTATAGTAAGTGCCCTTGCTTATTTATATAGAAATATATTCTAATTGATATTTTACTTTTTGTTCTCTAATCTTGACTCTTAGCACATTGAAGGCAAGGACTATATTTTTCATATCTATTTACCAAATCAAACATAGTGCTAGAGACATAATAAGCATTCAGTAAGTGTTTGTTGAATGGCCTAGGAATGACTTCTCAAGAAGCTGTAGGGCTGGCTTGTTAACTCAACTGGCCAGACCAAGGGGTTGTAACACCAAGGTCAAGGGTTCAGATCTCTGTACTAGCCAGCTAAAAACAGAAGAAACTGTAGGTAAGTTCATTTCATTTGCCAGCATTGCCAGATATTGTAAACATACACACTCCTGATCTTTCAGGTCTTGCTTAATTCAATGAGTACTTTAGTCATCTGTTTACTTTCTTTTAAGAATGAACCATTCCTTAAAAAAAAATTATTGTGGGAATTTTCAAACATAAACAAAAGTAGAGACAATAGAATAATGAACTCACCGATGCCCGTCACCCACCCTTATCAGTATCCTGCTATTACTGTTTCATCTGTATTCCCACCACTTTTTTTCCCTAGAATATTTAAAGAAAATTCCACAAATCATGTCATGTTGCCCATAAATGTTTCAGTGTATATCATTTACTAGATGAGCACTTTCTGTTTTTTAACAAAGTGCAGTATAATTCTTGTTTTTTGTTTTTTTTTTTTTTTTGGTGGCTGGCCAGTACAGGGATTGAACCCTGGACCTTGGTGTTATCAGTACCATGCTCTAACCAACTGAGCTAACTGGCCAGCCTTTCTTGCTTTTATTCTAAATGTATCCTACTTTTTCTTATGCTATCTACATACAATTTTGGCATTATAATTATAAATAATCCTGCCACATTCTTTAAATGTCTGACTACTAGTCTTCTTTCGGTCTTTACTCAGGGTTTTTTTTCCTTTTCCTGAATATGTTGAATTTTTTTTAATTGTTATAAAATACACATTAACACAAAATTTACCATCTTAACTATTTTTAACAGTACAATTCAGTAGTGTCAAGTACATTCATATGGTTGTGCAGACAACATCCAGAACTCTTCTTTTACTAAAACTGAAACTCTGCCCCATTAAACAACTCCTCTCTTCCCTCTCCCACCCCACTCCAGCACTTAGAAACCATCCTTCCACTTTTTGTACCTATGAATTTGACTACTCTAGGTACCTCGTATAAATGGAGTCAAATAATTGGAAGACAAATATAGTATTTGACTTTTTGTGGCTGGCTTATTTCACTTAGCATAATAGCCTCAATGTTTATCAATGTAGCATATATCAGTATTTCCTTCCTTTTTAAGACTGAAAAGCATTCCATTATATGAATATACCACATCTTGTTTATGCATTCATCTGTCAGTGAACACTTGGGTTGCTTCCACCTTTTTGCTATGTGAATAATGCTGCTGTGAACATGGATGTAAAATGTCTCTTTGAGACCATGCTTTCAATTCTTTGGGCATATACCCAGAAGTGGAATTGCTAGGTCATATGGTAATTCTATTTTTAATTTTTTGAGGAACCACCGTACTGTTTTCCCCAATGGCTGCACCATTTTACATTCTCAGCAACAGTGCATGAGGGTTCCAATTTCTCCAAACCCTTGCCAACACTTATTTTCTGGTTTTGGTTTTTGTTTTTGATAGCAGCCATCCTAGTAGGTATGGGGTGGGATAAATACTTTTTAAAAAATATGATTCTAGTGTCACAATTAGCAAAACAGTAATTCCTTCATATCATCTAACAAAGGGATTTCTAATATGCTGTCCTCACCGTCGTCTTTATATTGCCATCCTTCCATTTCCTCAAACTAGAAGCTTTGGAGCTGCCACTGATTCCTCTCATTCTCTCACCTCACATCCAGTTCTTTAGAAAAATCCCAAAATATATCCAGGACACCCCCCCCCCCCCCATCCCGTTTTTTAAAAAAAACCCCAAAAAAATTCCAGGCCCCCCCCCCCCCCACATGCTCACATGCACACTTTTCTCACC